TTTTGTGATGATGTTGAATGTGACCTGTTGGAAAGAGCAGGAGCTTCTTAAAGAGACAGAGCCCCAATTTCAAGGCGCTAAATTACAAAGTCCAATTTCTTTTAAGTCATGTTTTATATATACATAATTTTTTTTAAGTGAAGCTAGGAGTTACTCGTTTGTACTTTAAAATGCCATGACATGCCTGGAAAACATATAATGCTGCATCTTTATATTTGTACTACATAATCTTGTAAGAAAATGTATTTATGTATTTTTTGTTGCCGGAGTGATTTGGGTGAAATAAATTGAACTGCAAAGCAAGTTTTCTTTATTGATCTTCAGAAATGTAATGAACAATGATAGTGTTTGAATACAATGAAATAAATCCTTTTTTCTGTCAATGAAAAATGTCAAACATGATGCAGATGTCAGAACTACCCCCCAAAAGCTAACATTTCAGGACCATCTGTTTTTAATGGAGTTTAAATCTCCATGACGTCAACTCAGTAGCAGTCTACAAAAATATATTGGCAAATCTACAAATCTCCAACATTTGTTTCTGCCGAATCAGGCCATCTTCAAGACGCCCTGCACCATGGATCCGATCCCGTCAAAGATCTCGTGGATGGGAGCGTCGCACATGAAGGCGCAGGTGGTGACCAGCTTGTTCTTCTCGTCCACGTGGCTCTCGCCGACGCTCTTGCTGATGTGCTTGCAGCCCAGCTGGTTGATGGCTTCGGCCGTGCCCGCCGTATCTGGATACCTGAGCGGACAAAAAAAAGAAAAAAAAGAGTTACTTGCTGCATGAAGTGACGGTTTAATTGTCAGACAATTAAACTGTTCTTTTTTTGTACCAGAATCTTTTTTTTTTACAAGTTTGAAGTACTTTAACATAAAAAAACTGTGGAAGTGATTGGTCATTATGGCCATCTGTACATTTGGACTAGGACAGCAGAATCTTATAAGCCTGAGATTAACCATTCTAGTCTGCAGAAAATGTCAGATGGTTAAAGTTTTTCCTTTCGCTCAGTAAAGAAAAAATATGAACTTATGCTGCAGAGAAAAACTCAAGATCCTCCATGATGGAACCTCTCATTGGTCCTCTAGTCTCTTCTTTCATCAGGAATATTTTATAGTTTGACTCCAGCTTCACCTCCGATGATTTGATCACTTCTAAAGTCTTGACAGCTTGAGTTTCATTGTCACAGTCAGAGATGAAAACTGCTATGAAACAGCACGTGTCATAAAATCCACGCGTACAACCTGATTATTGTAAATGGTCATTTGCCCGACATTGTGAAACCATCCCTGCAGCATTTGCACGTTCCCTGAAAATGCTTCCTTTTTTGTCAACATGAGGAAAACTCATGCCAAAACTCTAGTGGTCGTGCGGCTACACTGTTCTGAACATCCAGAGGAACTTGGGGTTAGGAGAACTGCTCAATTTCTCTTTCATAAGTAGTTATGAAAAAAGATGGAATTTGTTTGTTTATCAAATCTGCAGTTTCACTAGGGATTAAGGTTCGATGGAAAGGCATTTGCTTCATTTCTCTGATTTCTACCCGGTTTGGAACGTCTAAAGACTTACTTGTTGTCTTTTTCGATGCCGACGGTGACCTCGCAGCCCGGGAGCACCTTTGCTGCCAGGACGGGCGAGATGCAGCAGAGGCCGATGGGTTTGCCTTCGCTGTGGAACGCCTGCAGAGCGGCCTTCACCTCGTCGTTGACCGAGCAGTCCTTACCCTGCACTGCCCACGTACACAGGTTCTTCGCCGCCCCAAAACCACCTGAGAAATGACAAAAAACGGGAGTCACAGCACAACTTTCACTTCCACCGCCCACAGTAGCATCTGTCGAGAGGGAAAGAAAGCACTGCAATCAAGTAGGCTGTAGAGTTGGTCAATAAACCTGGGAATATGATGGCGTCATGGTCTTTGGCACTGAGCTTAGACAGATCCTGGATGTTCCCGCGGGCGAGACGAGCGCTCTCCACCAGAACGTTTCTCTTCTCCTCAGAAGGTTCACCTTTGAGGTGATTGATCACGTGCATCTGGTCGACATTGGGAGCAAACATTTGCACCTGTGAGCGAGAAAAAAATACAGAGGAAGCCATTTTTTTTGACAGAACGCAACCAGCATCGCAAACTGAAAACTAAAATTTTGAAAAAAATAAAAAAAATAAGTATCTGATTTCTTGAGGAGCTTTTTATATTTGCTTGTTTTAAAGACCGACATGTTCACGTTTGAGCTGCCAGTGAATGCATCGCTGGCTGGAACACCCAGAAGGAAGAGGAAAGCCAGCAATATGCATGGATGTCAAAAATTTTGTGTTTTGGGCTTTAAAACATGGATTTGAACCATTCTTTTTCCCAGATGGAATAGTGATGCAGTAAAATTAAGTTTCAAAATGGGTTTATTTCCTCCAATCTACACAGGGTCAAAAATATGCATGCACGTTTAAAGCTACAAGAGCAAACAGTAAAATTTGAAGATATGCTTTGCGTCAAGTTTCAGTGAAACCTGGCTTTTGCTTATCAACAAGCTTCAGGCATAATTCTCCCTGAACGCTCTTTATCAGAAATGCTAGAGCGCATTTAAACTGGCCTTTACTGACATTATATTAGATGTTATTAATATTTGAGTGTCTAACCCATCAGAAAACCAGTTTCAAGTGGACTGGCGGGGCGAGCGCACCCTATGGTCCTCTCAGCTGTTCTCTCGTCGCATTGCAGAGTATTTTGATCCTGAACACTTGAGTTGCCAAACCAGGCAGTGATGCTGTCCAAGTCTGGACTTCCTCCAAAGGACGTGACGCTCCAGTGTCTCCACTTCAACAACATGTGAGAATAAAGACCAAGACAGTAGCCCCTGCTCCAAGACCCGACCTCTTTAAGATCAACTGAAATTTTGAGCAACATTTCCATTTTGAGCTCCTTGGCCACAATGACAGGAACAATGTTTGAGGGGGTTGGCAGAATCTTTCAAACTGGGTTTTATCAGTTCTCCCAACCGGAAGCCAACTTCAGCTTCCCTAACGTCACTGTGCAGGTTGTAGAGGTCAGGTCACTGTCACGCAGATCGTCGGCCCTCTGTGTAACTCTGACGTCCTGGACACTTCTGACCGACTTCAACGTGGCCAGTTCATACTGTCGCCAGCAAACCACAGACCCTGCAGATGAAGCAGACTTACTGCGGCGCCTCCTCTGCTCAGATGGACCAGGACAGCCGAGGCCTCGTGGATTTCACTGCCATCATAAACCCCGCAGCCCGCCAGCACCACAGCTACGCGTTTAGCCATCTGGGAGGAATAAAGGCTTTTATTCAGAGTCTGGAGCGTCCTGGGAGCCAGCAAGCTGCGACCAGAGTGCTGGAGAAGGCTGAGCAGCATGTCGGACAGCCCCTTTCTCGCGCTGCTTCCTCTTCTGTGGATTACAGGGAGCGTCAGACGGTGTTCGTTAACTCACTGGCGCCCCCGTGTGTTTGAACAGGAGCGTCTGCTTCTTCTTCTTCTGGAGTTTTGCTTCCAGAGCCACTGAGAACATGGACAATTCCCCGCAGCGATGGGGTTTTAATGAGATATTGTGCAAAATATCAACTCAGGGAAAACTGATATTTAAAAAGCACCTCATTTAATATATATTTTTAAGCTTTTCCTGATGTGATCTGTTTTAATTGTGTTTTGTGCACTTTATAATTTTAAATAAATGTTTTGTTAAAAAAATCAAAAAAATATTTTTTTATTACCATCATGTGCAACAAACATGGTATCGGCATCAACTGCACACAGGCCTGAAAAACCTGAAGAAGCCGACCCAGAAAGGACGAAAGAAAATAAAAAGAACAAAAAACAAACAAAAAGCAAGCCATTAGGGGTTTTACAGCAGTTTCAAATTGTTTATCACATTATACAGTTCTGCATCTTGTTCTTTGTCCATGAATTTTAGAGACAAGAAGAGGTGGCAGAGTTCCTAGTGAGAAGTGGGGGAAGATGGTTTGGCTTTAAGAAAATGACATTTGTGAATGAAAATCTTGCCCATGATAATTATTGCATTGAGTAGCCTTTCAAATTTCTTTTCATTTCTCAGAGTCCCCACAATAATGTCTCTCTTAGAAAATTCAGGTAAGTTTGGATACTTTGGGGGAGAAGCCAGTGGTGCACAACACTGCTTTGCAATACACACATTCATAGAAAAGATGAATATCACACATCACAAAATAAACAAGTGTTATCATCAACAGCAAATCGAAGTCTAAGGAATTCCTTAGAGGGGTAAACACCTGGAAAGACTTTGAGGTGATACAAAAGGAAACAAAGTACTAAGCATTCCCTTTTTTTTTTTATTTTATTTGTGATACTTATTTTATTTGTGATACTGTGATACTGTGCCCATTAATCAGAAGTCCAGGAAGCACAGAGTTCTGTAATCAGGGTTCTCATTAAAAAAAAAAAAAAAAAAAAAACATTTAGCTGTATATCAAATACTTGGGGGAATGGCTCTAAAGATCTTTTGAAATTCACTTTTATTTATTTGCAAGTTATATTTAACACTGAAGTCTTCAAAAGACACAATACCTCCATTTAATAAACGAACCACAGACCAAACACCTTGTTCTAGTCAATTATGAGCAAAGAATGATTCATTATTCATTTTTATGTCACGGCAACTCCATAATTTTCATATGGAAATATTAAAAATAAACTAGCATTAATTGTGTTTTGCAAATGTGAAATTTCAAACTAAAACCTCCACCAGAAAAACTAATTTTATTCCCTGCAGGAAAAAAAAGTAAGTTTTTTTTTTTTTTTACTTTTAAAGCTTCAATATTTTAATCAGAAAGATGATCATTACTGACGATGATTACGTCGAGTTGTTAAAAGCAAAAAATATATATACATATACATTTTAAATTATTTTTAAGTAAATAAATGACCAATGAAGTTGATTTTCTTCTCCCGTTTCAGTGATGTCACGCTATACGTCTCACCAGCGAACCCACGTGACCCGGTGAAACAGGAAGTGGGCTTGGAGAGGAAGAGTCATGTGAAAACAATCAACCGTGACTGTCTCGGTATTTCAGGTTTTATCTGTCGGGCTGCGTCGTGTCCCGCATGGAGCTCTCCGTGTGCGTGAAGCTGCTCCTCTCCCTTCACGCTGTCGCTCAGCTGCGGGCAGACGGACGACAGCGGTGGCCTGTTCCCTACAGGTATGCGGTCAGCAGCGCGTCACGTGACTGAGTGGACACTGGGGTGGGCTGCGTCACAAATGTAGCTTTTTGGTTGAAGACTTGTTTCAGTTCAGCTTCTACTTTGTGTCACTTTTAAGGAACTGAGTGAAACTGATGTTAATTGCTGTTAATAGATTAAAGTGTCAGCAAATAGAACAAACGATTTTTGCATCAGTAATGTTTAGTGTCGTACAGTTAAAAAAAGAAAAGTTTACTCCCCTTTACACAATTGGAGCAGAGGTCGATTCCCAGGATGGCAACACGAAACAGACACCTGGAGTGTTTTAGATCATGTGCTGGAATGACCTAGTCAAAGTCCATATCTACATGCAACTTGAAAATGAAGTTGCATGAATGAAGTTCCAAAAGAAAATGAACAAGATCTTCAATCTCTAGATGTGCAAACCTTTTAGAGACAAAACCCAAAAAGACTTTAATGAAAGGTTCAACAAAGTGAAACATTTTTTAATAGTTTAAGACGTTGAAATGTTTTTCCTCCTTATTCCTCGGTAATCAGCGCTTTGTTTTGGTTTATCACACAAAATACAAATTCCACAAGTTGAATTCTATAGTCTTGTTGTGTCCAAGCACGACAAGCCAGCAAACAAATTTAATTAGTAATTTCAGTGTTTAGAGCCTGACTTTTTAAAAAATGTATAAATCTTGAGATCATTTACAGGAGATCTAAAACTGACATTGTTGGCCCCTGAAAGTGCGTTTGCTTATTACTATGGTAGCTGTAGAGGTTGCTGTTAAATGGTTCCAAAGTGACGTGATCATGACTCTCCATCCCGCATTCCTTTGTTCTCATCAGGCGCTTTGACCGGCGACCTCCTGTGGACCCGTACTGCGACGCTCTCTACCCCTTCTGCCCCACTGGAGACCGTGATGGACGCTTTCCCTCCATACGAGACAGCGACGTGGTCTCTGTCTACCGGCTGCAGACGCCTGTGTGGGAATTCAAGTACGGAGATGTGCTGGGGAAGTTCGTAAGTGCATCAATCTTTGACATTTCCATTTCAGGTATTTCTCTCTGCAGCTTTCAGTTCATGTAACATCGGTATGAAAGAACTGTGTACTTCAAAATAATCTGAAATAGCAGCATTGTGGAAGCTGAGGTGGAGCTCAGTATTAATAGAAATGCAGCTGCACGAATGTCTTCTCAAGCCAAAGTTTCCGTGTTTTGCCTTGCAGCACATCATGCACGACGCCATCGGCTTCAGCAGCCTGGAGACTGGAGCCAACTACACCATGGAGTGGTACGAGCTTTTCCAGCTGGGCAACTGCACGTTCCCTCACCTCCGCCCGGAGATGTTCGCCCCCTTCTGGTGCAACCAGGGAGCTGCCTGCTTCTTCGAGGGCATCGATGACGTGCACTGGTCGCAGAACGGGACCCTGGAGAAAATAGGAGAAGTGACAGGTGATATTTTTTTGTTGGCAATCTGCATTTGTTACTGTCCCCAGGCTGTAGCTGCACCAAACCTCCCATCGCCCAGAAATAAATGCAGTTCTTTGTAACCCATTTTATTTTTTCTGACAGATCTCTGGTTTTTGCTTTCCCATGGATCGTAAATGTGTCAAAAGAATATCAAATTTTACATCGTATCAAATAAAACTTGAGCAAATCTGAGTTTTATCGGTGGTTAATATTAATATTTCACTTTAGCACCAAAGACTTAGAAATAATAGATTTCAGTGACTTTGTTTATGACTTGTTTTCAAATTCCCTTTAGATCTGGGTATGATGCAGTGCTGTTTGACACCCGTTAGTCTACTTCATGTTAGAAGAGTCTCATCTATGATGTTTGTGATGACTGAAGCAGAATGGAGAAGGTGGTAAATCACAGGAAATGTATTATTTATTCAGATGTAGATTTTAACTGTCTTTTCTAAAAATAAATCTAAACCATTCTTTAAGAACAGAGTTTAGCATTTACTCAGGTTATTTTTCTCTGATATAAAAATTTGGTTGGTAATTTACAGTAAAACACGTAAAAGCAAAAACAGAAGAAATCTCTAAAGTGGTACGGAGTCTTTTACATCGCTGTAACGTCAATGACCATAATGGAGCGCTTCCACTGTTATCAGCACTTACTTTTCCTGAACCCCACTTTTTGTCCTGCAGGGAGTCAGTTCAACGCGATGGCTCAGTGGGTGCAGGACGACAACGAGACCGGGATCTACTACGAGACCTGGACCGTTCGCTCTGACCCCGGTCCGAACGCAACGGTGTGGTTCGAGTCGTACGACTGCTCCCAGTTCGTCCATCGCACGTACAAGAAGCTGACCGAGCTGGGAGCCAAGCTGTCCAGCCGCTCGCAGACCAACTACACCAAGATCTATCTGTTCAGCGGAGAGCCCAGGTACCTGGGCAACGACAGCGCCATATTCGGGCAACCGGCGCTGAAAAACCTCGCGACGGACATCCGGCAGTTTTACCACACGTTCAGGCCGCACCAGTCGATCTTCGACCTCGCTTTCAGCCTGCTGGAGGCTTACAAGGAGGTTGTGCTGGACAAGAGTTTCTACCTGTATTACAACTTTGAGTACTGGCACCTGCCAATGAAACATCCATACGTGCAGATCACGTATGAAGAGGTGCCTTTGCCTTAACAACCAACCTGTTTCCTTGAAAATGTCTTTTAAGTTTACAATTCATGACTAGTCCTGCCAGCATTTGCTAACTTTCATGCTGAGTTGGTTGTTTTAACACAGTAACACTTTCCCTTCTCCCCTTCTCTGCAGGAAAGCACGCTGCTATGATTTCACCTTTTAAAATATTTGTTGTGGGTGGGTGAATGATCCTTGTCTGACCTCTAGGTGGAGACATTGTTTAAACAAAACCTGATCTAACCTGATCTAATTGTATCTAATAAGTATATGGAGATGCCATAGATGTACAATTTCAAACCTCACAGACAAATAAAAGAAAGTGTTGAAAGAGCTGATTTAAATAAAAATGGCCATAGTTACATCTGATGTACCAGGCATACCTGATAAAATTGTCCTTAAATCTACTTCAAAGATTTATTCCAACCAACGTTCCAAGTATTTTTTGCAACTAGTAGCATTGCTCTCAGCATCCATAACAGTTTCACATATGTATTATTTTCTAAGTAACTTTTTATGTTGATCAAATTGTCTGGAAAGTTTTAATCAAATTGTCTGGAAAGTTTTAATTTATAATTCAGATATGACACAGAAGCACCTTTCCTGTCATTTTCAAAATCAAAGGTTGAAGTTTCTTTTTTATGTGGCTTTATTATACTCAGTAGGTTTTTGGATGTGTTGCACAGATTTTGTAGGGATGGCAGTAATGGTGGAGGGCATTGGAATGAGTCAGTGAGTTAACAAGAGGTAAGAAAGTCTTTCAATCCTGCCTGTTGTGTCTTCTGCTTTAAAATTATTGCTAAGCCCCATCATTTCCTTTGAAAACTACAATCGGTCTTTGAAGATTTATTTCATATCACATTATCAGCACACAGAGTACAAAGACTTTTTTTCTACAGTCTGAAAAGATACCTTATTGACTTTTTAACCTGATTAATAAAAAAATGCTTACAACTGTGGCTGATGTCGCGTGCTCTTTGGCCCTTTCGGCTACGCAATGCAGCAGCAAAACAGGAAGTCCATAATGTCAGATGAGGTCATCACATGGACGGTCTGCTCTTTTTGCCCAATTCACACCTACGACTTGGTTTTACATCAATGAAAAGAAAATAAATTTTAAAAAAACCCAAAAAACGGGCAAAATAAACAATATTTTAGTCTATGAATAATAAATTCACAAATGGGTAGCATTTTGTCTACGGCTAGTCACTGTTGGAAATGTCAAAACACAAGGTGCAACAAGTACATTCACAATTGTTTATTTCTGGAGAAGATCACAAGTCCCAAACAATACCTTTAAATTAAAGACAAGTGACCAGTAAAGCAAAGTAGACAAAGTATTTCTTTTCCATAATCACTTGTCATACAGAAGCAAAAATAATAAAAAAAAACACCATTAACAGTTAAGTTTTCCTAAACTTTAAATAGAGCACTCTCTAAACAAAACGGAGATCAAAACATTTTCTGATCGGTACTTAAATTGCAAGATGAATAATTTTCCCTCGAAAAGAGTCAGCTGAGTATTCAGATGAAGGCGACAGTAAAAAGTAGCCATTTCCTTTAAATGAAGTAAAATCCCAGCACGAAATCCAAAAATAATCAGGTGATATGTTACCGTATCGATGACATGAACACAGACGGTACAGCTACTTACTTCAGTGAGATTTGATACCAAGAGTCTAATAATGACTTGAAATGTCTCCGTTTTAGTCTACGTATTGCCAAAAGTATTCACTTGTGGACCCTCAGTCACACATGATCAATTTCTTAGGGTTTAATATGATGCAAGACAACTTTTGAGACCAACAGCTTCAACTCTTCTAGGAACACTTCCCAGGTTTAGAAGAAGAAAAATCTTATAGAGGCACTGACATTCTTCCAGAAGCACATTTGTGAGGCCCGACGCTGATGTTGGCCGTGGAAATTTGACTCACAATTTTCACTGAGGTGTCCAAACAGGCTGAAATCAGAATTTTGTCCATTCCACGCTAAAAATCACTCATCCAGAGGTTTTTGAATCTGGCGCAAAAGTAAACTGGAGCTGAGTTTGTCAAAAAACAAATACTTTTAGCAATATAGTGGATTTTCTTTTTGTTTGTTTTGTTTTAAAAAAAAAAAATCAACAACATATTAACAAGATGTAGGGACCACAGCAGAAGAGAGACCACCACTCAATTCCTTACATTTTTTTAAGGACAGAAGTATTGTGAAAACCGTCATAGTGAACTTGAGGACCGCCTGTCTGCAACGATACCACGATGACAACAACCAGAAGTGTAGAACATAAACAATGATCTTGTTGCTGAACTGCATTCAATGCGAACTCACAAATGAAGTTCAGCGCAATAATTAACAACAAAGCGTGACTTCTCAAGGCTTTACTATCTGAAAAAGAAAAAAAAGGCAACTACTTCATCTTAATTCAGACTCCGGTATTACAAAAGACAAAGAGCTGCTGGTTGAGCAAACGTTGAACCCCGACAGGGTGAAATAAAGAAATACGTACATTTCTATTCAAAATAATCAAACACACAGCGTTTTATATACAAGTGAATTCAACTTCCTTCTTAAAGGAAAAAGAAAAATACGTTCCACTCATCTGACTTGCCACATCTCTTCTGACTGTAAAGGATGAACGCGGGAGACAGCAGCAGACTTATTTGCAAAGAATAACTCTGCTGCTCCTGTTTGGTGCTATTAAAGAAAACATTAGTAATAAGAGGGAGGCTGGTATGCGAGACTGACAGGATGTAGAGCTTTACCGGGCAAATTGCAGAAGGTAAAAACTGAAACCTGAGAGACAAAGAAGAAAAAAAAGAAAAAAAAAAGGGGTTGAGCTCTGCGTTCCCAACATGCATTTAGCGTCAACAGCTGCTGACTATTATATTGCTAATTCCAAAGCAAACGGAGCGGAAAGAGCGAAGGCACGCCGACGTGCACCGACACTTCTGGACACAATCACGATTTGCACAATACGATGGCTTGTAAAAGCATTCATACGACCTCGGCTTTTTCACACTGTCAGACTGTGAGCATCATCTTTTACAAATACAAATCTGAGAAGTGTGGCGCCTGCTGTCACTCCAGTGCCCCTGAATAAAAACTTTATAAGTCACTTGATTACTAAACAGAATCCACCTCTGTGCAATGCAGCTGCAAGTTTTTAATTAACTATAAACTCAGGGAGGCAGAATGTAAATGCGCGCCACACTGTTCAGATTTCAGAGTTTTATAACAAAGAATTTTGTATCTTTGACCTGTGAATTTAAATGTTAATTTGTGTTGCTCTTTATCAATAAATCATAATGTGACAAAATGTGGAAAAGCTCAAGGGGTATGCACTTCTTTCGCAAGACACTGTAAATCGATTGCTTCTCTTCTTTCATCATAGCCTTATTATTTTAATATACTGTATCTGATTGATCAGCGCTTCGGATGAATACAAAAATGCATTATTTGGCCGTGACCACTCGGTTCGGCCCAGCTGTCATTTGGTTTCTGTGTAAGGTGCGTAGAAAACATCTCTCACTGTACAAAAAAAACCTTTCACCAACACAAGCAAAAAAAAAAAAAAAAAAAAGTGTCTCAAATATACAGATAGTGTGTGATGCACAAAAACAAATACAATTCAGGTACGTTACTGAACACTGTACACTTTCACATCACAAATATCAATCGTATTTACACATTGCTCTCTGCCGACATCGGACATCTGCAACGAGACGTTTTGCGATTCATGAAGTGCAAAAAGAAAAAACAGAGCTCCCGCTGCTTCCGTTAAAAGCGTTGAAAAACTCCTTCGGCATCATCTAAAAGAACAAAAATCCCCATCTGTTGCCTTCTTTGTAATTCATAAACCTCAAAAGCTGTTTTGTTTTCAGAGTGCAGGGCGTCTAAACAGAGCGTAGTATGTAGGCCGAGTGGTAGTGTAACGACATGCAACGATGCATCTAAGCGGATTTCCTGCAAAACGTTTGACGTGTTGAAACACACCTGAGCTTGTGCTTGCAGACGCACACATATTGACATCTTTCCTGATGCATAAAGTGGAAAAATGTCCACATCAGGGCTGCAGCTAACAACTATTTTGGTAATCTGTCAATTGATTATTCTGACGATTAGTCGGATAAAAAAATATGCACATTTTACAAATTTATCATTTAACCCATAAACTCTTTTTTTATACAATATTAGAAATACATTACAAGATGCAAAAAGACAAATAATTAAGTTCATATTTAATTAAGAAAATAAACATTTTATTGCCTGAATTACAATACTGTAGAATTTCTTTTGTAAATCTGAACCGGGTGAAGCTAAAACTACACCACTTGAGTTTTGGCTAAAGCATCGCTACAGAAAAAGGTGTTTTTATTTTAAATGCAAAATGTATATATATTTTTTGTACATATTTGGCTTAATTAACCGCTGTGAATATGTTGGCCTTTTGTAGAACCTGCGTAGTCCGGTTAATCAATCACTATATTAGTGGACAATTGTTTCAATAATAGATTAATCACGATTAATCGTTTCAACCCCAGTCCATTTAAATCGGCATGTTGTTGTTGCTCTTCCGGCCGCTCTGAGTTTCACTCCAGAGTTGTTTCAGGCTCTCAGATAGAATCACATGACATCCCCATTTTTTGTTTTTACTCCAAATAGACACTCAGAGAAGTTTTGCTCGTCAAGTTGGCACCTCGCAGTTCACTGCAGCGGAGCGGCTTTTCAGCTCCTACCAAGTCGGCATCATGTCCGGGAACCAGACTCGGCCCAGATGTTTGGACACCTCCCAGTGAATCTCGTCCAGGGAGTATTTGTGATCGGGAATCAGCACCTCCTCCATGATGGACAGCTGGGACAGCCTCCTGCCGCACATTTTCACAAACTCCACGAACGCGCTGCAGGACACCTCGCACTCCCCCAGGCCGATGGCGGACAGCTGCGTGCAGTGCTTGGCGATGCGGATCAGCTCCTCGTCGAGCGGCCGCAGCCCGTTGGCGCACACCACCAGCTCCACCAGGCGGGGGCAGTGGAGGCCCACGCGGCCCAGGACCTCCTTGCTGACGGAGCGGCCGAAGTAGAGGTGCGTGACGGGGATCTCGTCGTTGAAGAAGGGGACGAACTCGTCCTCGTAGAGGAAGAAGTACATGACCAGGTTGAATTTGGGCGAGTGGCGCACCATGGCGTCCCAGCTGCTCTTCTTGATGGTGTGGAAGTGCTGGCCCGGGTTCTCGCTCACCACGTCGATGCGCAGGTGCTCCAGATGGACGTGTTTCTCCGAAGAGAGCGCCAGCAGGAGTTCGTCGCTGAGGAGGTGGTAGTTGAGCGCCAGCTCTCTCAGCCCGTGGCACTGGTCTGCCACGCACAGGATCCCTGCAAGCACAGACCGGATTCTTTATTTTCAATTCCGCCAATTGTTCTGGCCTGGTTTTAATTTTGTGTCGAGAACAAAACGGCTCATTGTGTTTGGCAGGAAAGCTGTGGGTTGAATCAACAGAGCATCGAAAACCCTTCCAGGAAAATGTATGTCACAGCAAGAAACCACAGAACAAGTCCCTTCATAATTACCGCCACAGTATGAAGACGCGTTAGAGAAGAAAAGTGCAGCCTCCAAAAACCAAATGAAAGGCAGTCTTGTGAATAAAAAGGACAAATATGTCCGATGGACATTTAGACCTGATTGGAAGTTAAACTGGTAGGAATAATGAACACCCACATAAAACAAACCAAAATTATTAAAAAGCCATTTACTCAAAGCTTCAAAGGTCGGGAACATTTAAATGTTTCTGTCACGTTACAACCAAAAACGTCAATGTTTTTTTATTGGGATTCTGCGCTTCAGACTAATTTTATGTTTTTTTGTTTGTTTTTTCCCACAAATACAAATATTTATTTCAAAATTATTGTTTCAGTACTTTTTCAAATAAGATTTTGTCCCATTTTTGGAGCTCTCTGCGTTCTGGGTTGTTGTCCAGATGGAAGCTTTAACTCCACCCACTGCTGTCCTATAATTAGCACCATCCCTTTTTCCACCCATATAAAACCATCATCAAAGCATAACGTAGCAAACACCATGATTCACCACGGGGCGGATGTTTCTGGGAGGATTTTCAGTGTTGTGTTTTTGTTACAGCAAAGAAAACTGGCAAAAAGTTTAATTGTGTTTCCGTTTCCACATGATTGCCAAGTCCCCCACTGCCTGTTGTTAACTGGACTTAATATGGCTTTCTTCTAGGAATGCCCCTTTTTAATAAGGGCCAGATTTGTATAATATGTGACTAACAGGTGTGCCACTCTATGACGTTTACTCACACTTTCTTTGAGGCCCTTCACATTCCAGCTGTATTTACGATGGGAATAAATTATAAGACGGTAGTCTGTGTTTACTAATTAGGTGACTCAAGAGGAAACAGTTTGCACGAGATAAAGGAACCCGAAAGAAGGCTATAATTTTCAGATTTTTATTTGTAAAACAAATCAGAAAACTCTAGTCATTTTGTTGACACTTTGCAACCCTACACTATGCTACTTTGTGCTTTTCTCTTGCATACAATCCCAATAAAATGCCTGGAAGTTAGTGGCTGTGATGTGAACAAAAAAAAAAAAAGAAGAAGAACAATATCTCTTAAAGACAACGTACCTGCAGGGGACACATGAGGACAGCTGCTCATCTTCAGCAGCTTTAGGGTGTCGCTGTTGTTGGCCACCAACACCTTCAACGATGGATCGTCCACCGGCGTGTCGTCGATCTTCAGCGAGGACAGCGACTTGGAGTTGACGAACACCACCGTGAGCGCCGAGATGAAGTGAGACTGAGGAAGCAAAAATACGGTCATTCCTCAAACTGAATGTAGTGAGCTTTTTCTTACGAGATAGATTTCAACAATTCAGCTCTAAAGAGGAACACTGATGACGCTCCATTACTGCTGAAGTAACTGTATTCGTTTTCATACGCTACGCATAGAACACTGATTACAGTGTGAACGCTAACAGCTACTCGTGATGACAGGAAAATGTTGACAGAATCTGACTTTAGAAACACGACTATGCTGGTGAAGTGTTTCAAAGTTTTCCAGATCAATCCCAGTGCAGCACGGAAAAAAACCCCAGATCACTGTGTCAAAAAGTAGAAAACAGATTCATCACCATTATTGTTACATTATTGTTTATTAATGTTACTGTCAAAAGGTAAGATTAATAAACAAAAACCGAAATCACAAAGAAAAACAAAATTCCAAGTTTAAAATGTATAGAATAAAGATAATGACTCAATTTAAAAAAAAAAAATCTATTTTAACATTAACTTAAATCTTACTAAATGGTGTAGGTCATATTTTTATTAAAAATAAAATCAAAAATGTCAATTTCTTTGTGGCCAAAAGTGCTGAGAAACCTTCAGGGTTCCATTCAGTCGGCATTAAGGGGTTTTTCAAGGGTTCAGAAAGAGATCACTCTGCACAGAGAACTAAATAGTGGTTTACTAAATAACATCATGTTCTCTTTTTGAGGCCACACAACAAAATTCTGACCTTGTTTGTGTGTGAGACAGACGCTACTTTCGAACCTTATCTGTGGGTGGGAATACTGAAAATACTATCTTGTCAGCAAGTGACTAAGAGAATTAAATGTGTCAAAGGTTTGAGATAAACTGACCGAAAACCTAATCTTTTTCTTGGCTAATACGGAGAAAGGAAATTCTTGTTAGGTGCTGCTTATACCTTTGGAACCTCCATGAAACTGGGCCTGGCTGTAGAGATGAGCCCCAAGGTCTTCAGGGAGCAATTCACCAGCTGTGACAGAATGTCACATGCTGCCTCTGCAGACTCTGTGCTACTGTCCACCTGATGAGAACAAACAAAGACTGGCTATCATTTCAGGAGGACAGAAACGACATTTTTCTCGTCAGCGTTTAGCAATGGCAATAAAATCAGACATATGCAACAGGGATTGGAGTTTTACCTTGAAGCTGACGTACTGGAGGTGGTTAGAGTGCCTCTTGATGATCTGCTTGATGAGGTCTGGATGCGTGGCTTTCAGGTACGAGCTTGCTGGCTGATTGAGCTCGAACTCGAAGCACCTCCACAGCTCGGGCATGTGGAAGGCTTCGTTCCAACCGCGGCACACCTGCGAGGCGAAGGCCCGGTCCAGCAGCGGAAGGTACTGGAAGATGTGCAGCAGGATCTCCTGAGGCAGCAGTGACCAGTCACACAGCGGAGACTCACCGGCTGCCTCAGCCTCCGACTCCTCGCTCATCTCCGTACGGAGCTTCTTGCAGGCCTCTGGCGGACGTTCACCGCTGCCTGCCTCCTCTCCTCCTTTGCTCCGTTTCATCCTGAAACATAAACACATGCTGTTTAAGTCCAGTATATAAACTCTGAAAATATCCTTAAAAAAATGCATATATTTATAATAAATAGAAGCAGCAGGAAGTCATTTGGTTAATGGTAGATGTTTGGCATTTCTGGATGCTGACAAAAAGCTATGTCCACTTCTGAGTCACTAAGAGTTTTCTTTCTTTCTTTCTGGATCTAAGAACCTTTAGCTGATCGGTTGAGAGTGAGGAGGGAGACATGCAGTGAAGGTCACTATGCCAGCGTCCATGCCCCACCTGCAACTTTCTGAGTTATCCTCGCAACAAAATTTGCCGTTTTTCAAGATAGATTTGCTTGAAATTTTCATTTTATACTTTTCAGGTCAACTTGTTGAGCTTTTTTTCTTTTTTTCTCGTGCTTGGTGTGTAAACCACCAACCTAATACAAGTGTCCTTATGATGACTAAACCACTGTTTTATTTACATTTGCAATAAATGTCCTGAGTCATCAATTTTGGAACACGATTGTTTTTCTTTTCTATATTATTATACGAGTTTGCTGGATGATCCTTTAGTATTAAACTGTAACGCCCTCAACCAGTCATGAAACAATCTGCTGGGAAGAGTCTCTTGTGTCAGTTCAAAAACTCACATGTTTTCTTTGGCTCCTTTCTAATTTCTTATTCAGCAGCAAATAATTCTAACTCCATTTTCCCACACATAACGACCGGAGCAATTTAACACAGCTAAAACCAGTCACCGGTTTGTAGACCAACATGCACCTTTCACGTACAGAACGTGAAAAAGGTGCTAGCATTTTTCTGGCTGCTAAACCACAACGTGACCATGACAATGTGACGTCACGTTTTCGGAAGAAAACGTGAGAAACGTGACAACGGTTATAAATATGACACTTGGAGATAATGCATGTGACGCGAGCTTTAGGTTCGACTTTGTGCCACACGAAGACAAAAGTTGTCATGTAAAATTGTCCAAGGCGACAGCCTCAATGAACGTAACAGTTAGCTAACTTTACATTAGCTTGTTTTAAATTCACTCGAACAGTTTCTCAATAAAAGTTAGCAACATTGTATTGTAACGCATTGTACGTGTCGTCAATCGTGCTCGGTCGATAAGGTGACATTTACTCGTTAAGCTCCAGCTCAGCCGGGCATCTTCCTACCTTGTTGTTTACACGCACAGCTAGCTCAGTAGCTGGACGAAGGGAAATCCGAAAGCCGACTTCACTCTTCAACCCGGGCCCACGAAGGAAAAACTCATCCGCAGCAGCCAGATAACTCGCATCGGAACCCAATTACCGAGCACACAGATGACAGAGAAGAAGAAACTGCCACCTCCGCTCGTCTGACCTAATTCCTCCCCTTAACCCTGAAATGGCGAAGTGTTTTGACAGCGACGGCGCTCCACTGGAAACGTAATGCGAAATGGCTGTTGGTAAAGATCGGGCATTCTCGCGAGATTACGCAAAAAAACCTACTTTCGTTTTGTAAAACACTCGCCCACAGATAAACAAATAAACGAGCATCAAAACAGTGCGACCCTTTATCATCGGTCAAATGATCTTGCAGGTATATTACAGCCTATTAGTGTGTCATTTTTAACTAGAAAAACATGTTAAGTGATCACTATGAAAAACTTTCAGTCACAATGTTGAGAAACACGTTTGAAAGTTAATTATGATTGTAAAACGTTACTTTTTAACGGACAAATTAATATTCATGGAATCCAACGTCATACATTTTAAGGCTTACAGTAATTTTGACTCTGTGATAAAAACTCAGTAACTTGAGTTTAATCGGGATGACATTCACACACAACTTTGACCGTCAAGGTCATAATTGTGTGATTCAGCGTCTATTGAGAGATTTTGTAATTGCAGCTCTCGATGTCGCAAAAATTAAATCCTATTAAATTGTCACTTGGAAAGTGTAAATAACTTTTTTTAATTCCACAATTATGTCTTTAAATATCCAAATAACGACGTCTCTTGTCATTTTATGTGTTAAGTGATAACGCAGCAGTTATGAACATGTTTTAAGCGAGTAAAAAACCCCAACAGTAAACCACGTAGAGTACTAAACATGCATCCAGTGATGCATCTTTCGCTCATTTTTATGAGTTCTTCTGTTTGCATTTCATTTACCTTATCTGCATTTTCTAATTAAATCCCTCATATAAAATGATTTTCTTGCATTCTGCATGGCTTCTGCAAATACATTTGAGTTGTATTTTAAAATACTGAATGAATTTCAGTAACATTTTGCAAAAAAATAACATCCCTTTTCTTCTAAAGAACAGTGAAGATTGGAATGAAAATCCAAACCTTCTTAAAGCTACCTACATATTTTGCTATGAAAATCCATACTTCACTTTCCACTTGTTTTTTTTTTCTTTTATTGTGAATGCACGTTAGTGAAAGTCTGCATATTTAATGCCCAGCAGAAATTGTATTTTGCCATAAGAACGAAAAACACATTGTATAATTTGTGAAACAGAGAATCTGGTTTATTACCATTCAACTCCATCCACCACAGATATTACAGAGCAGATTCACAAGTAATAAGCTTCTTATTTAACAGCAGCTGCTTCTTATTTTTATTCTTTTTTTTAATCCCCCACACTCTGCTTCTTTGACCCCCAAATTTCTTTGCCACATACTAGGAAAACGCATACAGGTGCACAATTGTATTTGGTGTAAAGACTGGACTCTTGAATCCTTCAGCTGTCATCACTCCTATCAAGACTTTTTTGTAATTTTATTATTATTTCTTGTATTTAGGTAGGATTTTGATGCTTTTTTAAAATGTATTTATCTGAGCTGAAAACAAAATTTACATCCACCATCTTTCACTGCAAGTGCGAGACTCTCTTTTCCAGACAGTAATCGAAGAGAACCGACACTAAGAAGAGGGAGGGCGAGGACTGGGGGCGGGAGGTTACGACTGTATAAAAATGTACAGTGGTTTTTATTTGACATACATTCCATAGATGAAACAGCTGCAAAATAGGAGGCACACCCAGTATTGCACTTCATTAAAAGTTCTGGCTCAAAACAAAAACCCAGAATACCAAACAACTGAAGAGAGCAACTTCGGAATACAGCTACTTTGAATAGTATCGCTATATACAAGATTAGATAAATCGTACACTATTTCCATCCCGAAAGCGATATTCTTAACAGTCTTAACAACCAACTCACCTTTTTGTTGTCTGTCAACTCATGATGCACTTGACAGAGGGGAATACTATACAAGTTTACGAAAAAAATGTTTACATACAACAATATTTTAAATTTATAGTGAGGAAGCTGGAAATATGGCCCCTTCCTTTGTTTTTTCCTTCCCCTCTTTTTAAACTCACGCTCATCCTCAGTTGCGTTAAAGCAAATTTATTTAATCTTCAATGTTACATCGTTACAGTTCAGTGATTGGAAGGTGTGCAACGTCTATAGAAGCCGAGGGATTACAACGGCTGCATGCAAACACGTCACAAGTTATTTTCTTTTTATCCCCATTCTTCTTTTGAGAAAAAAAAAAAACAAAAAAACTTTTATTATTATTAAGTTTGCTCTGAATCGACAGGAGCGACAGCTTGCGCTCGCAGCAGAGCCTGGATCCTGATGTTTGGGGAAAGAGCAGACCTGACAACTCGGCGTAGAACGGGAACCTGGTCTGCGGTCCAGAAGACTCAAAGCCAGAGCCGAGCTTCATCGCTGAGTCGCAGCAGCAACGGTGGCGGCTATAAAAATCACAGTAGACCGACTGGTTCTCAGTGAGTCTCTTAAAAGTTTAGAAGGTGTGAGCATTCCTGCACACTCCGCAGCCCAGAGCAAATTCTTCGCCCGTCGGAGGGTGGACCACATGCAGGGGGCACTCGGTGCCTTCAAGCTGCTTGCCTTTTGGCCCTGTAACACAGATATAACAACTAAACCTTTTCCCTCATTGCTTATTTTATCAATTTCTCTGGAGGCATCACAATAAAAACAACACTTAGGTATTCTATTATGTTTCAACCACAAACGTGAATTGATACTTTTCCTCACAGTAAAATTCAAATCTCTTACACACACAAACCATACACCTGATTGGTCAGAGAACAAAATGCTAATTTAACAAAAAAAAAAGTAATTTCAATAATGTTTATTGTATAAGATATATAATTATCAATAAGTCACTAGGTCATTAGAAATGATAAATGTTTTACTCTAAAGCACAAACATTTCATGGAGAGCAATTAAAAGTCAAAACAAAATGGCAGATCAGGAAAATCAAACAAATATTCAAATTCGTTTGTGTAAATATATTTTAGGTAACCAAAAAAAAAAAAAGAAAAGAAAAACACACTATTTAAAGCTAAAATAAGACTCCTGAAACTTTGAGGAAAAGGTAACATCATATTATTGTTTTCGAGAGAAACCATTCAGTCACCTGCAGGACAACGAGGGAGCTCCTCCTTGGGAACGCTGGTCATCCTCTGGAAGTCGTCATGGCAGGCGTTACAGAAGTGTGTGGTTCCAAAGCAGAAGAAGACGGCCACGGAGCAGCAGTAGCGGCATTTATACTCCAGGAAATCTGTGCCATGTTTGGAGCACATCTGATAAACACACACGGGAGAGAACATTAGGCGGATTTCTGACAAACGCAGACTTTTTAGAAACCATTTCCTTGTGCAGCAACCCCCGTCTTAATCGAGATCTTCTGTCTGGCACAGTTGGGATTCTTTACGGGCATCGTTCACTCACTTGTGCCCTGGAGACATCCGAGCATGCTCCACAGATCAGTTCGCTGGGGTCATAGTCATCACCTTGTCCTGCTTCTGCATCGCAGCGAGCCTCTCCTCCAAAATATGCCTACAAGAAGGGACACTGCTGATTTTTTTTCCTCAATCCATGCAAAACATTTGAGTCAAAAATCAGATCAATGAAAGTCATTTGTGACCTTTTTGCACTTGTAGCAGACATAGTACGCATATCTGTTCATAGCGAAGCCTGCGGGGTCGTTGTGGAAGCGCGCTCCTGGTGTAGTTATCGCCTCGCTCTTGTGTAGACCCTCGTACTCCAGTCTCATCAGAGCTTTTCTCCTCACGTCCTCATACAGCTCCTTAATGGGGTCGAGGAGGTCTTTGATCACGGAGTGATTGATTTTGTTCTGTAGAGGAAAAAAAAAAACACACACACGCAACAAAACTTCATGAAATCCTTTTTAAATACACTATGTAGAGTCTGAAGATCGCCATGTCTCGACATGGCAACATTTTTAGCAAGTGTGTTCTGTAATACCTTGCAAATTGGACACAGCATGAACCCAAACGTAATGCGTGGCCCGAGCCAGCGGTTTTCAAGGACACGTCGAGTGCACTGAAGGTGAAACACATGAGTGCAGTCCAGCTGGAAGCAGAACCAACAGTTTAATGTTAAGGCGAACTAAGTTAACTCCCAAAACATGATATTTAAAATAAAAATAGAAGCTAAACTCAAAGCTACCTGTACTGCAGGAGCTGCCGAGAGAGCCTCTGTAAAGCAGATCATGCACATGTCATCTGCATCCTGTTTCAGGCAGCCAGCGTTCTTATCGCAGCCATGCAGACACGGCAGACAGGTCTCCTCATTCTTGACTCCTCCACAGGGGTGACCGCAGGGATGAGTTTTACTGCAGGCCAGCTTTGCATACTCCTGAGAGAGTCGACAGGAAAGGAGGTGGTGATGTTTACAAAGTACAATACAATACGCAAAAATATTTAGTGGCTTTTGGATCTACCTGGATTAATGAATGTATTAGAAATAGTTTATTGTGGAGAGGGAGACGCTATTCCAGTATTTGTAATCCTCAACCAACATCACATTTGTAGAAACATTTTCTAGAAGCTCCATTAAGCAAAACTATATGATGTAGACAGTAAAATATATAGTTAATAATCTATAAATCTGTGTATAGGGTTAGGGTAATTCAAATTATTTTTCTTGCTAAAATATGTGGTGTTTGAACTATTATTGCATTAAAGGGTCAAAGAAAAAAGCTTTTCGGTTAAAATCCTTGCGTGTCTATATATGACATTTACAATAAGCAGGTATAGAAATTACTGACAATAACACTTAACAATAACAAACACAACATTTTAATAAAAGTTCAGGAAATGAAGCAGAAAAAAAAACAGGTCTTACTGTCAGTTTGGACAAAAAAATAGAGGCTAACAGAAAACCTGTTTGAAACAAATTATCAACAGGTCATATAAAAACAGAAAGGAAGCAAGTTAATGTGAGCTTAGCACTTCAACAGAATCCCCCTTCAGCAGGAATGAGATACATGTTAACTGAATACTTTATAGCTGTTAACGTTAAGTGTTGAATGTAAAAAAGAAGGTTTGCATATTAAACACCTTTTTCCCCTAAAAGCATTTATAAACTTGCAAAAAGAAACATCACCTTGCCC